CTTTCTACAGATATCACTCACTACACACCAAACTTCAGTTTTTCCTATCTGTGTAACTTCCTTCATTACACAAATATAGGAAGTTAAAGTGGAAAAAAAACAGTTACAGCATTTTTAGTGCACATGGAACATCCCCCTTCCCTGTTAGCTGGGAACAAAGTCCTGCTCCATGGCACAAGGCTGAGGATAACCCTCTAGTCCAGTACAAACAGGTGTGGACTAACCACAGCTGTGGCTCAAATGCTTTTCTCATCTGTAACTTCACTTCCATGAGCCATGGAACATTTCTGCTGGAAAATCATTAACATTTCCAGCTCTACACAGGTCAGGAAAGGCAAAAGTCACTGCAGAACTGGCAAACTGCTCTTTATCCAAAGGATACCAGCAGGACACCAGCAGGCAGGAGTGCTCTTACCACAGCAGGCCAGTATGGGTAGCGCCGCAGCTTGCACCACACCAGGATCCCTTCCTCAATAGACTGGGGCTCTAGGATGGGAAACAAAGTCATTTTTATCTTAAAGAACATTCAGACAACATAGTCCTCTCACCCACTCTTGTCAGCCTTCAGGCTGCATCTCCAGGAGGAAACTCCAGGAGTTTTCTTTCCATGACTTTACAGGTTTCAGATAAGGTGACACCAAAATTCAGCACAGGCAGTTCTGAGCAGGAACTCAGGAATTCCAATCCCACAGTACCACAGAGATTTGCATTTCAGTCTGCATCAAAAAGCCTTTTGGGGCACCCAGGGAATGTGTTTTGGTGCTTGGACACAGCTGGATTCCCTGCTGGGCAGGTTGGCTTCCATCCCAAGGCCTATGAGCTCAGAGCCCCTCACTAAGCTCACCCAGGAGACCTCACCCAGTGTCCTGTGCCTCACCTCGGTGGGACAACACACGGGGGAAATAGTCCTCCTCTTCCTCTGCCAGAGCTGAGAGGGGAAGGGAACTCTCCGAGGAACCTTTCCTGAAAGGCATCTCCAAGGATTCCAGCCCTGCCAACAGCAGCAAGAACCAGGGATGTAACAGTGGGGCTGGAACTGGAACAGGAGCAGCCACAGAGGTGAGACACCTGTGTGACCTCAGAGCACCACAAGGCTCCGTCACACCCCGGTGACCGCAAGGGATCAGCATTTTTGCTTCTCCAACACTTAGACCAAGAGGAATCAAATCAGTCAACTCAAGAACCACATTCCCAGAAGCAAAGCAATGTTCCAAGAGAAGTCAGTGCTCAACACCCACATGGGATGAAGGTTTCCCCTCCCAAAGGGATTTCCCACCTTCATCTTCCTCAGAGTCAGGCAGCTGAATGTGCTTTGCTTTGTTCCCAGGCAGGCTCGAGGGATCCTTGTGTTCCTCCTCTTGGGGCTGAGGGAAGGCACCAGAAGGCCCAGGTGAGGATCCAGGGGGGCTCCTGTATTTCCTGTCTCTGCTCAAGGCCATACCTGTCCCATGCAGCTGTTTTCCACCCTCTGCCTTCCTCCTTCCATCCAGCTGCTTCACCAGACTTTCACTCTCACTGCTAATGCTTTGCTCCAGCTCATCTGAGGCACTTTTACAGGAGGAAACCAGGAATGTCCTTCCAGGCAGAGATCCCCTCCTGCCAGATTTCCAGGGGACAGGCAGGGACCCCTCCCCAGGATCTGGCTGTGCTTGATCTCGGGAGGAACCATTCCTACGTGGTAAGGCTGATCCTGCGCCGCTCCATCTTGTCCTTCCCTGCTGACTTTGTCCCTCCTTTGGCTTAGGGGAGATTTCATCCCCTGGTTTGGGCTTTATCAACAACTTAGGTTGGATTTTCCTCTGTCTTGGTGGGGATTTTGGTTCTGGTCTTCTGCAGTTGTGATTCTCAGGGGTTGGTGGATCACACAAGTCCCTGGAGACACATCTGGAAGGGTTTGTTCTGCTTCCACGAGCTCTGACTCTCACCCCTGTGGCAACAGAGACTCCCTGGGGCTGTGCTTTTGTGCCACCCTTCAGGCCACAGTTGGTTTTTGGTTTTCTGTTCCTCTTGGCACCCACACGCTCCAACTTGTTCAAACAAGATCCCAGCACACACCTGCGCGAGGGGGTGGAAGGGGCAGAGCCTACACCATTCTCTTGGGAGAACTCAGGATTTGGCCCTTCTGCACCTGCGACTTGTCTGCCTGAGACACTTTGGTGCAGAATATCCATGGCAATTTTAAGGGAACGGCGATATTTGAGCTCCTCCACAGCCTCGTTCACATCTTCCTTTTGCTCTGTGGAGGAGAAGCATTCAATGATGGAATTACCTTTGGTTTTAGCCGAGAAAAAAGAAGTTTTACTCATAATGTCTCTTTTAAAATGCAAATTAAATCAGAGACATACACAGACCAAGCTCCCAGGGCTTCATTTGGAGGGAAACACACATTCCTTCACCATTCCCAACATGTTGCCCCAGGAAGGCCAAAATGATCCATGTTTAACCTATTTTCCAACTTTATAGATGGAAAAGGGGGAAAGAAATGCAAAACAAGCTCCTCAAAAGCTAGACAAGTACCATACAGGGCTGTAATCCCCCAGGCTGAGCTCTGGGGGGTATTTTACACCCAGAATTGAGGCAAAACAGCAGGTTTTTGCTTCTCCTCACCCAAGCTGGCAGCGATGTCCTCAATCCTCTCCTCTGTCAGGGGAACACAACCGACACAGCTCACACTGACCCTGGAACATAGCACAGCTAAGTCAGACCATCACACAGACACCCCCAGCCCCACCATGCTGCTCCCACCCACCAACAACCTCCAAACATCTCTCCCCAACCTGTGATGGTTCGGGTTAAACAACTAAAACTCCCGCAAATCCCTGATCCCATCCCACAGGCAAATGCAGGTAAAGGAAATCCTTTTTTCCTGCCTCTATTTTCAGTGCCCAAGAATGCAAACATGTGGCAGGAACTAGGATACTCAACTGATTCTCCAAGCCAAGGATTTCAGCTTTCAGACCAGGCTCCTTCTTGGTCTCTGCAGCTATTTTCCTGGAGGCTCCAGGCCTGGACAGAATCTACATTGGAAAGAGAAATATCCATTGACAGCCTCATCCAGGTGTGTCTGTAGGACACAACTGAGAGCAAAACATCTTCATAACAAAGCCTGAAAGCCCAGGGCAGCATTAGAGGCATGGATCATCCAGTCCCACCCCCTGCCATGGGCAGGGACACCTTCCACTGGCCCAAGCTGCTCCAACCCCATCCAACCTGGCCTGGAACACTCCCAGGGACGGAGCAGCCACAGCTGCTCTGGGCAACCTGTGCCAGTGCCTCAGCACCTCACAGGGAAGAATTCTTTCCCAATATCCCATCTAACCCTGCCCATTCCCCCTTGTCCCATCACTCCATCTCTTGTCCTAAGTCCCTCTCCAAGGTTCCAGTAGGGTCCCCTGAGACACTGGGAGGATCTCAGCTCCTTTTTAAAGGACAAATATGTCTCCTGAGAGCTCTTCCTCCTTTCCTGCCCCATTCCATCCCTCTCCAAGTGATACCCACACTTATTTCCTCATTCCTCCTCACCCTGGCTGGCCACAAACGCTTCCTCCACTTGCAGAGAACGAACTCTTGGTCAGTCATGGCTGAGTTTCACGTGCAAAAAGGCAATTCCAGTGTGTTCTGAGGAAAAAACGGAACAGAGGAGTCACACACCCTGGTCCAGCTTTGCCTTTACTTCTTTTAAACACAGGAGTTAATCAAACACATTCCTACAGCAACTATTTTCCTCTGGGTCACTGCACTGATGTTTCCAGGGAGAACTAGTCAAAATTAGTTTAAAAGTCCATTTTTTCAGTAGTTTCGCTAGAGAACCTGTGGTTTCCACATCCCTGGCAGTATCCATGGCCATGTTGGAGCACTCTGGGCTAGTGGAAGGTGTCCCTGCCCATAGCAGGGGGTGGGACTGGATGAGCTTTAAGCTCCTTCCAACCCAAACCATTCTGGGATTCACCAATTCCAAACTTCCAGGAACACAGAGGTTCCTGCAGGGTGTTGGGTGACCAAAACGTCACAAATGAACAAATGCTGCTGTGGCCCCGCCCAACCCACAGCTCCCTGTCAGCACACCCTGAAAACAGGGAATTACCCCCAAAAAGGACACACTGGGGCGCGTTTTATATATATTTTGATGCCGATTTTCACAACTTACCATTACAACCCACGAGAACCCGCCAAAGCCCTCAGGGGGTTCCCTACGGCCTGAAGGGCTTTAAGACAGCCCCACCAAGGACCACCAACCCTCTTGCACTTACCAGGGACCACCTGCCTCCCTGCACTCCCCAGGGGCTCTCCGTGGCTCCGGGCGTCCCGCGGGCTCGGGGATCGCAGCCCTGCAGCGGCACAAGGGGCCGATAGTATCGGACCCTCCTTTTTTTTTGGCCCCCCAGCTGCTCCTACCCCGCGGCGAGCGCCAGGCGCTCCCTGCCCACCTCAGACCGAGGGGTTCTGAGGGGTCTGTGGGAGCTTAGGGGGCACCACCGTCCCGCCGG